CATATAAGATCAAAATAACAAATATTTTTATAATAAAATAGAATAAAATATTAAAAATTATTATTTTATAATAAAAAATTAAATAATTTAAAAATAAAAAAAATTAAAATGATTTCAAATTTCAAATTTCAAATTTTTTTTTACTTCCCACCTTTGTGGGTCTCACATGCCAGTCAATTTCTCCTCTTTTTTTTACTACAGTAAAAAAAATCAAAATTAAAAAGTAAACTTACCTTCACCTGTCTTTTACCTTTATCTTTAAAAATTTTATTCTCATAATCCGAAATGTTATTTATTAATTTTATTCTTACCAAGTCACTGCTTGTAAAGGTAAAAGACGGTGAAAGTAAGTTTACTTTTTAATTTTAATTTTTTTTACTGTAGCAAAAAAAAGGGGGAAATTGACTGGCATGTGGGACCCACAAAGGTGGGAAGTGAAAACAAAAATTGAAATTTGAAATCATTTTAATTTTTTATTTTTGTTTTTAAATTATTTAATTTTTTATTATAAAATAATAATTTTTAATATTTTATTCTATTTTATTATAAAAACATTTGTTATTTTGATCTTATATGTGTCATTCCAAAAATATCCCTGACTTGTTAGGGTCAACGGTCATCAAGACGGAAATGGTGACGGAACAGTGAAAAAAGACCAAAAAAGTTTCAAAATGACATGTAAAGGCTCAATTCATATACATGTTGATGTAGGGAACCAAAATTTAAATTCGAACAAATGTATGGGACCATTTACACAGTTTAGTCTAAAAAAAAAACAATATTTAACAAATCCCGTAAAATATTTAGGATAGGAGTAATCTAAGATAACTTTGACTGTATTTGAGTTTTCATTATCAATAGTTATTTTCAAAGGTTGTTGCAGAAAGTTAAAATAAAGCTATATTCTACATATAAGATGCCCTGTAGTCACGGTTAAATCTTTTTTTTATTTATTTCCAACTTAAGTGAAATTCTAATTTCATGCCAAATAAGTTATTTTCGGCAATTTATTGGGTGCACCTGGGAGCATCATACTCCCCCTCCTATTTTTTGCACTACTAGTCCTTATTGTACTTTTTTTTTACTTTTTCTAATAATTTTCTTATTATTTGCAAGTTTAGTCACTATCACTTTTTTCTCTCTCTTCTAAAAAACATCTCTAATATTCAAACGATCATATCTCTCAATCCGTGAAGAATTAGAAAACGTGTTACACATGAATTTTATTGTATTCGTCGAGATCTATCCAACAAGATCCATGTCAAATATTTTTTCCGAGTATAAAATGACTAAATTTCGATGGGCAGAATAAGATAGATATCTAGTTTAGAAAGATGGATAACCCAATTCATTTTAAATTGGTTATCAATTGTGTTTATACTGATTATCCAACCAGTTTGCACTGGTTATCCAACTTGTTTGTACTGGATATCCACCCATTTGGTTTGTATGCCTATCAAACTTGTTTGTAATGGATATCCCACTTGTTTATACTGGATATCCATTTCGTTTATACTGGATATCCAACTCGCTTGTACTGGATATCCATCCATTTGGTTTATATGCTTAGCCAACTTGTTTTGTAGTTGTAATCTAACGGGTTTGTATGCATATCCAACTTGTTTGTGCTGGATATCCAACTCGCTTGTACTGGATATCCAACTTATTTGTACTAGATATCCATCCATTTTTCTAAACTAAGTTGGTTATCCATCTTGTTTTTTCTTTTTTTCTTTTTTGAAAAGTGAGTGTAAAAAATATGATTGGATAAAACAAAATAGGTAATTAGTCCAAACCGGTTGGATAATCAGTATGAACACAACGGATAATCATTTTTCAGTTTATTCATTTCTGCCCGTAAGATTTAAATGCATTTAAAGTTCAAAAGAAATATTCAACATTGATCTTATCGGATGGATCTCGTCGAGCACTATAAATTTCATATATAATTCGTGTTATAATTCTTTACGAATCAAAAGATATAAGGAACACAACAATATGAATGTAAAATAAGTTGGTTATCCATCTTCTTAAACTGGATATCCAATGTGTTCATATTGATTATCCAACTTCTTTGTGGTGGTTATCCAATATTTTTTTTCCTTGCTCTTTTATGAAAATGATTGTCAAACTTTTTTGTACTGATTATCCAACGTGTTACACTGATTATCTAATTATTTTCTATTGATTATCCAAATTGTTTGCAATGCTTATCCAATCATTTTTTCTTTCTTTCTTTTTTTTTTTGAAGAGTGAATGTCAAAAATATGATTGGATAACAAGTACAAACAGAATGAATAATTAGTCCAAACCGGTTGGATAATCAGTAGGAACACAACGGATAACCATTTTTCAAAGAAAAACGAAAAACACATTTCTTCATTTCTGCCCCGTAAAATTTAAATGCATTTAAAGTTCAAAAAAAATATTCAACATGGATCTTATCGGATAGATTTCGTCGAGCACTATAAATTTCATTTATAATTCGTATTCTAATTCTTTACGGATCAAGAGATATATGCAATACAATAATCTTAATATAAACTAAACTAGTTATCCATCTTTCTAAACTAGATATCCATCTTATTATGCCCATCGAAATTTAGTCATTTTTAAACTCGAAAAAAATATTCGACATGGATCTTGTTGGATAGATCTCGACGAGTACAATAAAATTCATGTATAACACGTTTTCTAATTTTTAACGGATAATGAGATATAGTCGTTTAAAGATTAGAGATGTTTTTTAAAGGAGAGAAAAAAAAAATCAAAAAGACTAAACCTGTAAATTATAGGATGTTATTTAGAAAGGGAAAAAAGTAGAAAAAAGTGTAGTAAAGATTAGTAGTGTAAAAAATAGAAGGGGGAGTATAGTGCCCCCGGGTATACTGAATAGAGACTCTTATTTTCATCATTTATTAATGTATACAGATTAATAATTTATCGATAAAATAATAGTCTCTATTAGTCAATAAATTTTTGTGGGCCAATATTGTTAATTTATAGAATTTTTACTGTATACTTTATCTAACGACACTAATTATGTTAGAACGGAGAGAGTAATATGTAATATAACTAGACTTTTCATCCAGGCAATTTTGAATACTACACCTAGAAATTGTGTAAATTTTTTGTACGGCTGATGTACTACGTAAGATTACCAGCAATAATGCCAACAATTAGAAGGGTCGTGATGTTTTTAATATAGAATGTGTGTTTTTTGAAAGTACTTGTTACAGGTTGCAATTTGAGATACATAAGCTATTATCCATGGATTTATAAAGAAGGGATAATACTACACTACTATTAGGGGGAAACTTTTGTGCACGCCTTTTCTTTCTTTTTTCTTTTTTTTTCTAGAAATCGCAAAGTTGCTTGCACATATATATACTATTTTTTATATAATGAGATGGGAGGGTTGGTTGGGGTGATTAAGAGATTAGGATGGGAATAATTATTATCAGGAGGTTGAGAGTTCGATTGTCGCTGAACCATCTAATTTAAAAATATATATATATATTTGATATAATAAAAGAGGAAATTGTCTTAAACTCTGAATTATTACATAAATGGTAAATTTAAGGTAGAAGAGTAAAGACTTACATATAAGTAATAGCGAAAAAAAAAAAAAAGACTCCGTGAAAGTCAAAATATTTAATAAAGGGGTAAGTGAAGTACAAGGAAGCACAAAAAATTAAAAAAAAAATCGAGATTAGTAATCTTCATGAACAATACTTGAATGACCTTTATAAAATATTTTACAAGTTCAAGGAGTAATAATACCATTATTTTTTCATGATTTTCCTATGTACTCTATTTACCTTTCCAACAATGATATGCATACATATAAAGAGAAGGAAAAGAAAAGTAATTTTCAATGAGATTCTACTGTTTAATAATAACAAAACAAAATTAAGTGTCAGAGTCAGATTTCAACCAACCAAACAAATTCCAATAAATGATGTTTATTTAGCAGATTTTTATGCATGGTTGGCATAGGTCCCCAAGTTCAGAGTTCCTGACATTCCTTTAATAGATACACATACACTTAACTAAGGTGAATTATGCATTCCACATGCATCATCCCTAAAATTCATTGAGTACGAAAATGAAAAAAAAAAAAGAATGAAAAAAGAAAAAAAAAAGAAAAAAGAAAGATTGAGTTAATATAATTATGATTTCGGGGCTTAAAGCATCGACAATTCCATTTTTTGATAATCGACTTGGTTGTTAATTTTTATGCTTCTTTAAATCATCTAGTTAATTGTATCGTGATATAATGGTTTTTCCCCCCCCTTGAAATTAGGTTTATGTAACTTGTGTAAATAGATAATCATTGAATTTGCAAGTATAGGTCATAAAAATGTAAGATATAACTAATAAGTTTAACAAACGGTTGGAGTAATCAACAAACGAATACCAATATATATAAATATATATATTAATAAATACTCCGAGAAAACGGTAAAATCATGTTTGTTGCACAGAAACATGAATGTTTTTTCTTTTCTTTTTTTTTCCCCTGAGACGGAAGTGACAGATACTCATCAGAATCAAATGTTATCAAAGGTGGTGTTTTCTTTAAAGAACAGAAAAACAGATGGAGTAAGCAAACATGCATATTCCTTAACCATAGATTTTGGTCTTATTAGATCATCTGGAAAATGTACGACACATATATAATTGTTACAAGAAAGCTTCATTTTCTTTCTATACCAGAAACTGCATGCACTGATTCCGACGGTTCGTACGTGTGCATGGATTTATCTTTTTACTACACTTGTATGGACAGTCATTTTGTGTACGTTTGCAAATCTTAAACTTGTACCATAAGTGTAATATATATATATATATATATATATATATATATATATTTATATATATTGAATAATGTAAAGTTGAATCCAAATGGCTATAAATTGTACATAATAGCTAAGAGGTGAGGAGACATAATTCTGCTCTTACTCTTTCTTGCTAGTTAAATGTTCATAAGCTAAGAAATGGCCGCAAATTCATTCATCTACATTGAAATTCTTCTAGCAATCATCTACTTCCTCTACCTCATCTGTAAATTGCCAATCTTCAGAAACATTATTCATCTATTTCTTAACATTCATCGTATTCACGACTTATGTGCTAAGGTACTTTCCAGATATGGTGGCACTTTCCACCTTAAAGGGCCATCATTTTTCAACATGGACATTCTTGGCACAGTGGTTCCAGAGGACATCCACTACATCATGAGCTCGAATTTCGGGAACTTCCCGAAAGGGCTCGAATTCAGGCAGATTTTCGACGTTTTGGGTGACGGGATCTTCAATTCCGACACGGATTTGTGGAAATACCAGAGGAATCTGGCCAGGGCCCTGATCAACCACCAGAGCTTCCACAGGTTCTTGGTGAAAACCAGCTGGAACAAAGTGGTTCAGGGCCTGATTCCGGTGCTCGATCACACGGCGAAACAGGGGAGCGTTCTTGATCTGCAGGATGTTTTCCAGAGATTAACCTTTGATACAACTTGTAAAATGGTCACTGGATATGATCCTGAATGCCTTTCTCTTGATTTCCCTCATGTTCCATTCTCAGAAGCCCTGGATCAAGCCGAGGAAGCGATTTTTTGGCGCCACATTTTGCCTGAATCCGCCCTGAAGTTTCAGAGATGGCTTGGATTTGGAACAGAGAAGAAGCTTAGCCAAGCTTGGAAAATCCTTGATCAAGTCATAGGTAAGTACATTTCAATGAAGAAAGAGGATCTGAAAAACGGGACGAATTCGATTAAGAATGATGATTCTGAGGGATCCGATCTCCTGACCTCTTACATTAATCACAATCAAGGTGATGAGAAAACAGGATTCATGAAGATCAATAATGAAGACAAGTTCTTGAGGGACACAATTCTTAATCTAATGATTGCTGGAAGAGATACCACAAGTTCAGCATTAACTTGGTTTATTTGGCTTGTTACAAGTCATCCTGTTGTGTTAAACAAAATCAGGGAGGAATTAACATCAGCTGACGAGCTCAAGGCTGATGATGAAGAAGCTCAAAAGAAATTCAGGCTTTTTAAAGCAGATGAATTGAAAAATATGGTTTATCTCCATGCTGCATTGTGTGAAGCACTAAGGCTATATCCACCTGTTCCATTCCAACACAAATCTCCCCTCCAACCCGACATTCTTCCAAGTGGTCATTACGTTCGTCCTAAAATGAAAGTCATGTTTTCGCTTTATGCGTTGGGACGGATGAAATCAATATGGGGGAAAGATTCATGGGAATTCAAGCCAGAAAGGTGGATTTCTGAAAAGGGTAGGCTTAAATATGAGCCATCTTACAAGTTCTTGGCTTTCAACGCCGGACCGCGAACTTGTCTAGGTAAAGAAGTGGCTTTTACTCAGATGAAAGCTGTTTCTGCGGCCATACTCCACAACTATGATGTTCAAATGGTGGAAGGACATGTTGTGGTTCCTAATATGTCTATCATTCTTTACATGAAACATGGCTTCCAAGTCAGGGTTACCAAAAGATGGTGATCATAATGGTGATGATTACACAATGAGTTAGAGTCGTGCATAGATGGTTTTTTTTTTTTTTGTGTGTGGTTAATTATAGTGTCCTTTGTAATCATGTTTCATGCACAAGTTTGCTTCTTTTTTTTTTTTTTTTTGTATCACAAATTGTCCCCACAAAGAAGAGAGTAGGTCGTACATTTCAAATTCTTGTAATTTATATGTGTATGGAAGGACCAAGGTGTGTGTTTATTTTACTCCACTACAGGTGTATAAGGTTATAGATGCTGACAAAAAGAGGTCCAGTCAGGTTCCCTTGTGGCTGTAAAAAACAGAAAAAAAAAAAAAAAAAAAAAACCCTCCCTAGAAAATATTCCTTTCCATCAGCAAGTTAGTTTTGTGTCATGTTTATATACCATTAATTTGGATCTCTTACAACAGTTTACTGATCAGTGAATTAATTCTTCGACTCATCTTTATTTGGTAGAATCCGGCCATCAAGTTTTCCTCTCCCTTATGTAGGCAAAAGATGAAGAGGAGTTAAACGAAAGTAGATGAAGAAAGGGAATGAATGTAAACAGGCAATGTTCTTTTTGACTACGTTATTATTTCCAAAGAGAGGCTCATTTAATAAATTAATTATGTGGGAAAGAAATTTGTCCTTCACCGTGTTATTTCATTATCAGTGATTATTCTATTCCGCCGATTGAGACACTGCCAAATAGCGGTTGGCCTTAAAATGGTGGTAAATGGAATAATTTCATACACCCTCCGTCCTTAAGGGATGTTTAATTGGTTGGTGGGAATGATTCCAAAATTTTGTGTTTTTGGTTGACGGATTTTGAATCAGCAGAAATTGATTGATATCTAATTAATGAGGAAACTTCTAAATCCCTAGGAAGATCGGATTTTGATTTGATTCCATGTTTTTGTAACATTTGTTTTCTTCAACTCTTTGCTTTCTCATGATATTTTATTCTTAATTATAAAACTCATTTTATTTGAATTTTTTGTCAAAATTTAAATTATCAACATCATTAAATGAGAATTTAATTTGATTAACTTATGATTCGTATTGAAATTGAACACCAAAACTTTTCTCTATTAAACAAAATGAATATAAAAAATAAAATATTACCTAAACGGAATAAACCAAATCACTATTTTGAAGTAGATATACCGATAATAACTCTTTTTTATTAGCATACTTTAGTGAATTTGGTGAACAAACTAAGTGTCCCCTAAATAAACGGTCAGTTTGGATTTTTCTTTTTTTTTGCACGAAAAGTGAAAATCTAAAGGAAATAATCATTTTAGGACATAGTGCGTAATTGTTAAAATTATAATTTCAACATTTTTTATTTTAAATATTTGGTTAGTATATTGATTTTGCACCCAAACTTATTACTCTGAGTTTGTTTAGAGTAATTCATTTCTCATTTTAATTTGCAAGTTATTACAGTAGGCATAAATTTATTCATCTTTAGTGTGTTCGGAGTTAAAAAAATAATACTCCCTCCGTCCCAAAATTATTGTCCAGTTTGAGTTTTCATTTTTAGTACAAATTGAACTAAAAGTGAAATTTCAAACTGGATAATAATTTTGGGACAAATGGAGTAATAATAAAGAAAAAAATTATGGTTAGCGTTGCAAGTCATAAACTCGTGAGTTGTAAAAGGGGGTCTATAGGAGGAGATATATCGTGCAAGGGATAAGCTAGTTGCTAGTTTTGCATGCCGATTTCATCCATTATGGATGCCAAAAAGTAGGTTGTGAGAGACACACGCATATATATATTATATTAAAATGTTTTTGAATTACATTTAAAATTTTAGTTTGATATGGCGCTCTTAAATCAGCTGATCAAATTGTTCGACTCATGAAAATATTTATAGCTCAGAAAAAGAATTACTATTATTGATGATAGACACTTTATTACACGCACACACAAAAAAAAAATAGTTTGACTTTATATATATTTGTTTTTTTAATTATTATATTTTTTTTTCCCCTTAAAACGAACCATTTTATTGAAATAACAAATATGTATGAAATGGTTTGGTACCTAAATACGGGATCCAGAATTTCTTAAAACCTCTCTCTCCCTTTTGTGTACAGAAGAACCCCGATCTCACACTATAGATCTCACCTACTAAAAACCCTACCAAAATAATCATCTGAGAAGGAGACGTAGCTCAGTACCATCAATACTACATTTATGACGAGGATCTAATTCCTGTTTGGGTAATGTTCTGTAGAACAACAAAAAAATGGCCAGAGAAAAACAAGACCACATTTTCTCACTATTTTTGGGAGTACACTCTGAATTAAAAGAAAGGGACTCACTGTCGCGTGTTTATGTTCAAGTTGCATTTTCCAGCTCTGCATATCTAATCCATTCATTCATCCAATTGGCACGTGTTCCTTCAACAACTTAATACCCTGTGTATATAGATAGGTGAAGTTTCAAACTTTCTACTCCCTCCGTCTCATAATTATTATCCAGTTTGAGTTTTTATTTCTAGTTCAAATTACACTAAAAATGAAATCTTAAACTGGACAATAATTTCGGGACAGAGGGAGTATTTCCTAAAAGAAAATTCCTTAAATTTTCTACACAAATTTTCTACACTTGGAGAATTTTTTACACGTGATTTTTAGCATAGTTAATACTCCCTTTGGTCCTTAATATAAGATGAGGTATTTTGATTTGTCATAGGTTCCACTTAATACGTATTTTTAATTGACAAAAAAAACCTTAAAATTATTTCCTAACAATCAAGAGAAGACAACGAATGTGAAAATATCTTTTTTTAAGTTTATTTGTTAATTAAAAATGTGTACTAGGTGAAATCTGACAAATCAAAATGCCTTATATTAAGGACCGGAGGAAGTATAACATAGTCTGGATCATAGTGTGTGTTAGATTTTGAAAATTTAGATAATATTGAAAGAAAACGTGCACCCAATGTTTTAAACAATATTACCTGAAATGGGTAACGTATTAGTACGAAATTATTTCCGGCATATGGATAATTTAATGGGTATCGTTTTTTTTTTGGCATCACAGGTGTATGATTTAATGTGTCACAGTTTTCTTTTTGCTTTTTCTTAGATTTAAAATGAAAAATAGAAACATTAATGGGGTCGCAAAGAGCTCAAGAAAAACTGCGTCGGTTAATATACTAACTAACCCCGTATGTCATGATTTTCTCTGCTTTAGTAACACAACATATATACCAGATCAGAGATTGAAAATCAATTACCATTTTTTTCCTTTTGAAATGGTGTCAATTACCAAGAATTTCACTTTTCTTAACCAATCCTGCGCTCACTGAAATTGGGCTTCATTTTTTGCGCGTCCATAAAATCCCTTAAAATGATTATATCTGTGACTTAGGATTTAGGAATTCAGCCCGGCCCAGTGAAGAGGGCGTTGAACATGTCTGTTTCTACTGCGGAATACTTAAAGAAGGAAGCAAATAATAGTGAATGGCTTGGTAAATTGCAAGCATAAACCCTAAACCCAAAACTTTTATCTTAAGAATAAGAATGGAGCCTTTGAATCACAATAAAATTATTTAAATAAATGAGTTATGTGGAATGGCTGAATGTATAAAGAAATGGCCAAAGAAATTAATATTTTTGGTTAGATTTATTGGAGATTAAATTTGGCAGCTAGCCGATGTTTTAGCTAAACTATATAACATCAGAGCATCTCCAACTATGACATTATAATTTACACTAAATTTAGTGTAGAATTAGAATATTCCAAGCATCTTTATTTGTACACCAAATTCTTTACCCTCTAACCTTAATGCATCAAAAGATCTAAACATCAAATGTTTTTAGTTTAAATTTTATTTTAATGGTTGATTTAAACCTTACAATTTGGTATGTTTTATTTCTAAATCCCTTTATATTTGTTTTTAGAAATATGAAATTTTTCTTTTTTTTTTTTACATATTTAATTTTAATAATGACTAACAATGAATTTCATTTTAAAAATAAATTTTTATATTCAATATGAGTCTTATTTTATAAATCTCAACAAAATATTTAATATGATATAATTTTTACAACATAATTTATTTTATAAATTAAATTATATACCAAATATATAATTAGATCAAAGTAAAATATAATGCACAAAAGATAGTGTAGTTGACAATTTATACCATATTTGGTGTAACATTATTCACTATACTAAAATGGTGCACTGATTTGGTGTCATCCTTGGAATGCAAAGTCTATACCAAAACACAAAATTTAATGTTTTAGTGTGTTCATTGGAGATACGCTCAGAATAGTCAAGTAAACTACTCAGAAGGGTAAGTTTGAGGGATTTGCCGAGTGAATTATCAAATCAAAACATATGATTACGGTTATGGTTCATAAACATTCGGTTCAGGTCCGCTTTTGGACCGATTTTGGTTTCGGTTTGTTTACATTAATTTTTAGTTCTATTTTTTTGACAATTTCAACCTAAGTTTTTAGTGTTTTAATTCATTTTTTTGTAAGTTTCCAAGTTGTTACCGTTTAATTATTTTTATAGAAGAAAAAGAAAAAAAATGATAGAATGGAAAAAGAAATTAACAAGTAAATAAGAAATGATTTTTTTAAAAAAAGTGGGATGCGGAATCATTTATGCCGTTGTGATTTTTTGACAAAAGTTGAATATGAAAATTTTTTCTACTATTTTAATAAAACTTTATTGAAATTAAGAAATCATACACGTAATGATACGAATATTACTCATCTAAAAACATCCGCACAAATTAGTAATACTTTTGGTTGCATGGCAAAAAGCAAAATACTAGGACGATACATATAGGTTTAATTCCCATGATTTTACAACAATAACAACAAAAACAAAATGTCTTTTTTTTTCCGACTAGATGCAGAATCATGTGTTGCTCGATCGCTACATAATTAAAAATAATTAAATCATTAAAATAGTAATTAAAACTTAGTCAAAAAAAATGGATTGCCATTATAATTTTCTCTAACATTTACTAACCGTCCAGAAACAACAAAACATAAATACTATAAAAAAAAAATTAAAAATTACATTAAAAACTAACTTTTAGTTATAATTTTTTAATAATTTTTAATCAAATTGACAGTTAGCGAGTTATGACGATTAGAACCACAAGTTCAAAATCGTTATTTACATATTTTCAATATTGCTTCAACGGTAACCAATCCTTGACTAAATGGTCCAGTTACGGCTATGTAAATCGCCTTTCAAGGTTCCAATTCGGTCATAACTCGAAATGCCGTTTCCGGTCCAATTTCAGTTAAAAAACTGTAATCATGCCTATTCGCACCGACGAAATTTAACCGTAACTCGATCATAATGTAATAGAATTAACTAATTCCCATAATATGTTTATTTTGTAGAAACTTAGTATTTTTATTGTACCAGCAGAAAAGTTATAACCCTAACTTAAACAAGATGTTAGTATGCAAAAACTAAATGCAAGATTAAAAAAACTATGGATGAAACCTAGTAAATTATTCAACTTTCAAGTGGTTTAAGTTTTCTTCTTGCAAAT